GGATGAGGCTTAGCTGGCAAGGCTGGGATGAGAGGGCCTAATCCTTCTCAGGGGCCTCCTGCTTTCTGCCAGATGCAGTGCAGTTTCTTACCTTTCTTTTTTGAAAATAGATTTTTTTTTTTTTTCTTGAGATGGACTTTCATTCTTGTTGCCCAGGCTGGAGTGCAATGGCGCTATCTTGGCTTGCTGCAACCTCTGCCTCCTGGGTTCAAGTGATTCTCCTCCCTCAGCCTCCTGAGTAGCTGGGATTACAGGTGTGTACCACCTTGCCTGGCTAATTTTTGTATTTTTAGTAGAGACAGGGTTTTGCCATGTTGGCCAGGCTGGTCTTGAACTCCTGACCTTAGGTGATCCACCCACTTTGGCCTCCCAAAATGCTGGGATTACAGGCATGAGCCACTGCGCCTGGCTATTTCCACCACTTATTGACGGGGGGACCTTGAAAAATTTACTTCACTTCTTTGATCCTTAGATCTTTTATCTGTAAAGATGGACACTAGTATCTGTCCACAGATGAGCTATACAGATTAAATGGGATCAATGTATTTAAACAGCATGAGGTAAGTGCTCAATAAATGGTTATTTTATTACTATAGTTATTGCTGTTACACTGGCGTTTATAGCAGTTCCATCAATGCTATCACCAGTTTTGTCAGCCTCATCCATATGCTTGGAACAACAAAGAAGATATTTTTGGAGTACAGGATGAGAAAGTTTGGAAAAATAGGAGAAGGATGCATCATGGGTATGGAGAAAGTTAGGAGGAAATGGTCTTTCTGAAGCGAAGGGGTGTGGAGAGTGGAAAACTGGGGCCAAGAAGTCAGGAGGAGCCAGACAGTGAATGCCTCTGAAAGTTGGATTAGTCCTGAAAGCGTCAGCCTCTGTGACTGGTTTTAGTGCTGGCCAGAATGACTGGGGGTCTCTCTGGTTACCCAGACCCTGGTGCCAGGTCCTCACAGCAGCAGAGCTTCTGAGCAAATAGGGCAGTGGGCGGGGCCCACGGTAGAGAGGGGTCCCAGTTGGGTCTCTTCATCTTGCCAAGGGCTCTCATGGTCAGCCCCAGGGGTCACTGGCTCCCTGTGGCTATAGCACTAGCTGGACTCAGTTGGGCATCAGGCCCTCAGGCATAGCCTAATACCCTGACTATGTTTTTATTTTGAAATCATTTTCTTTTAAGTAATAAGTGATTATTAGTGTGGAAAATCCAGAAAATTCTCCAAATGGCAAAAAAGAAAATAAAAACAGCAATTTCATGTTTTAGTTCTAACCACTGACGTTTTGCATCTACACAGTTTTAAAAAATAGTTTTGTAATACACTTTTTTCATTATGATAGAGTGTAAACATTTTCTGAAGCCTTAAATATTCCTGTATAATCACACTATAATCGATCACATAGGCTAAATGAGTTAATGCATGTATAACTCTTCAATCAATGAATGGCACATGGTAAGCACTCAGTATGTCTTAGCAATTATTATACTAGGGATATGTATTTAAACCACATATATAATTAATCAGCCCTTTATTATTAGACTTGAGGATGGTTTTCACTTTTTCATTTATATAGTAATGCTCCAGTGTGCATCTGTGTGAACAAATGTGTACTCACGTCTCTGACGACTTCCTCAGGATGTATTCCTAGTACAATGGCTGGGTCACAGAATATGCAATTTCTTTGATTATCAATACAGGTCCCTAAGTACCGTTACTATTTATATGTGCTCTCAGATATTAAAACATTTTTTTTTCTCTCCCGATGAGGCTGGGTTTGGAATTGGTTTCCCTCCTTAGAGAGAGGAGTTCTGCAGCTGAAAAAAAAAAAAACATGACTCCTCCATTTTATGACAGCAGCTGCAAGGTGTGACCCCAGAGGCTTAAAGAAAAGCTCAGAATAGCTCTGCTATGTAACCAGTTATGAGGTTTTGGGTAAGGTAACTGACTTTTCTGCATCTCAATTTCTTGACCTGTAGAATGGTTTTAACAACACCTGCATCCCTTAAAGTTGATGAGAGGATTAAATGAGAATTCTAAATTTCTTCCAGCGGTATTCAGCATATAGGGTTCCTACACGACAGTACTCATTAGTAGACACAGCAGCTGTGCAATCACACTACAGTAGCACAACAGCAATAGCTGTACCAGCCAGAATTGAAAAGCCCAGCCACAACGCTTACCACCACCTCCTCTAACGGCTCTAGCCAAATGCAGACAATATCGGGGTGCTTTGGGCTGGCCCTTCCCCCCAACCTCAGCAATCTGGACAAGAATACGAGTCTTCGTCTTTCCCTCACCTCTTCCGCCGGTCACAGTGGGAGACATCCAAAACCTCACAAGTTTACCCCTCTCCTCTAGCCATGGAAGCGACAGAGACCCAAGCCTGGGCAGCCTGAGGCCTACCTACCTCACCCTTGGGAAGCCAGGAAGCGGTCCTGATCTGCCGGCAGTGGGCCTGATCTGCCAAAAGTGAGCCTAATCCATGAGAAGCCAGCACTATACTGTATTCCGGAAATGAGGTGATTCTCCAGAAAGAGGCGTGACCTAGCGGAAGTGGGCGTAACCCACGGGAAGTAAGCTTGACCCTGTCGGAAGCTGACTTGGCCAGCCAGAAGTGAGGATGAGGCTTAGCTGGCAAGGCTGGGATGAGAGGGCCTAATCCTTCTCAGGGGCCTCCTGCTTTCTGCCAGATGCAGTGCAGTTTCTTACCTTTCTTTTTTGAAAATAGATTTTTTTTTTTTTTCTTGAGATGGACTTTCATTCTTGTTGCCCAGGCTGGAGTGCAATGGCGCTATCTTGGCTTGCTGCAACCTCTGCCTCCTGGGTTCAAGTGATTCTCCTCCCTCAGCCTCCTGAGTAGCTGGGATTACAGGTGTGTACCACCTTGCCTGGCTAATTTTTGTATTTTTAGTAGAGACAGGGTTTTGCCGTGTTGGCCAGGCTGGTCTCGAACTCCTGACCTCAGGTGATCTGCCCACCCTGGCCTCCCAAAGTGCTGGGATTACAGGCGTGAGCTCCTTTGCCCCTAAATACTTCAGTATGTATTTCCCAAGAACAAGGATATTCTCTTTACTAACCACAATGTAGTCAAGAAATTTAACACTGATATAATACTATTATCTATAGACCGTTTTCCACTTTTGTCAATTTCCCCAATAATGTCCTTTATAGTAATTTTATCTTGATCCTAAGATCCAATCTAACATCATGTATTGCATTTGATTGTCATATCACTTTAGTTTTCTTCAGTCTGGAATACTATGAGTTTTAATCATGAGTAAATGTTGAAACTTAATAAAAGTGTTTTCCTGCATCTATTAAAATGATAATAAAATTTTTTCCTCTAATTGGTTAATGTGAATTACCTTAATTGATTTTTCTAATGTTAAATGAACTTTGCATTTCTTGAATTGATCCCAAGTTAATCATTATGTATTAATGTTTTAAAATATTGCTGGACTTACCTTTCTAAACTTGGTTCAGAATTTTTGCATCTACTGATAATTTCATGAGTGGGATTGGCCTGTAATTTACTTTCTCATTATTTTTCAGGTTTTGGTGTCTGATTTATATTCATTTCATAAAAATGAATAGAGTGTGTAATATCTTTTGTACTCTTAAATCATTTCTGTAAGATTATATGTTTCTTTACTTGGCTAGTAAACCAGGTAGATTGTTTGTGGAACTATTTTAAGCTGGTGATTCAATTTATTTATTTTATATAATAATAATAATAATATCTTCTTGTTTTTATTTAATTTTTATAAGGGAAAAGCTCAAACATGTTCAAAATAGAAAGAATAATATAATGAACCCATGTACTCATTAGTCATCTTTACCGATGATCAACACATGGCCCATTAAATTTTGTCTCTAACCTCATATACTTCCTCCTCCTTTTTACTGGATTATTTTAAAGCAAATCTAAGTTAGTGTATCATTTCATTTTAAAAGTATTTTGGTGTGTTATGATTTTTAATTAACAAAATTTAAATTTTCATTTAGAAGTAACTTTAGCCTTTGAAAAAGTTGCAAAAGTAGTGTGACAATTTTCTGTGTAACTTTCACTCAACTTCCCAAGATGTCAACATTTTACATAACCATAGTACATTAATGAAAACCAGAAAATTAACATTCTTATAATACTATTAACTACTCTATAGACCTTATTCAGATGTCACCAACTGTCCAACTGATGTTCTTTTCAATTCCAGGATCAATTTCAAGATTCTACATTTAGTTGCATTTAGTTGTCATTTGTCTTTAGTCTCCTGAAAGCTGGTACAGTTCCTCAGTCTTTTCTTGTCTTCCATGACTAGGTGCATTTGAAGAGCATGGCCAGTTATTTTGCAGAATCTCCCTCAATCTGGATTTGTCTGATGTTCCCTCATTATTAGATTGAAGTTATGCATTTTTGGCAAGAATACTGCAGAAATATTGTTGCACCCTTCTCAGGGCAGCATATCAGCAGGCACAAGATATCGTTATGTCTCATCACTACCAATGTGAATGCTGATCAGTTGACTAGAGTGGTATGGTAGGCAGAATAATATCCCCAAAGATGTCCATGTCCTTATCCTCAGAACCTGTGAATAGGCTACTTTACATGGCAAAAGGGATCCTGCAGATGTGATTAAGTTAAAGATCTCGAGACGGGGAGTGGTATAGGCAATGTTCGTGTCCCTCCCCACTCCTCCCTCTGGCAAATTCATGTGTTGAAATCTTAACCGTCAATGTGATGGTATTAGGAGGTGGAGGCTTTGGAATGTTATTAGGTCATGAGGATAGAACTCATAAATGGGATTGGTGCTTTTATAAAAGAGACCCAAGAGAGCTCTCTTGCCACTCCACCATGTAAGAACACAGCCAGAGGAGAGCTGTCTGTGAACCAAGAAGCAGGCCCTCAGCAGACACTGAGTCTGCCAGCACCTGGATCTTGGACTTCCAGACTCCAGAAGTGTGAGAAAGAAATTTTTATGGTTTATAAGCTACCCAGCCTATAGGACTTTGCTATAGTAGCCCAAACAGACTAACATTGGGAGATTATCCTGGATTATCCAGGCAGGCCCAACATATTCAGGAGAGTTCCTATACGTGAAAAGGAGGCAGAGAAGTCCGAGTCAGAGAAGGAGGTGTGATGATGGAAGCAGAGGTCAAAGTGATGTGGGGCCATAAGCCAAGGAATGCAATCAGCCTCTAAAAGCCCCAAAAGATAGGAACCAGATTCTCCCTGGGTATTCCACAAGGAATGCAGCCTGGCTGACACCTTGCTTTTAGTCCAGAGAGACTCATTTTTGGCTTTTGACCTCCAGAACTGCAAGACACTACATTTGTGTTGTTTTAAGCCACTAAAATTCTTCTGGTAATTTGATACCACAGCAAGAGGATACTAATACAAGTAGTGACTGTAGATTTCTCTGTAAAATTATTTTTCCCTTTGCACTTGTGGAAAGATATTGTGAGACCATGTACATATCCTATTTCTTTTTACTTTTATTCACTGAATTTAGAATCTACTAATGATTGTTGCCTGCAGCAACTATTATTATGGTGTTTGCCACATGGTAATTTTCTATTTCCGTCAATCCTTCTGTCTTATTAACTGGGATTCTACTGCAGTATCTCAAGGACTCAGTTTGTTTGTTTGTTTGTTTTTTAAACCACAATACTCTTGTTATAGCTAAAAATTAACAGTAACTCCTCAATAACCTCAAATATTCAGTCGGTGTTCAAATTCCCCAGATTGTTCTGATAAGATATTTTAATTGTAGATTTGTCTTAAGCAGGTACTACACAGACAGGGTTGGCACACTGCATTTGATTGATACGTCTCCTAATTCTTCCAATCAAAAGGTTCCCTCTTTTTATTTCCTTTGTTCACATTATCTGTTGAAGAATCACGATATGCTCTAGAGAACTTCTCACATTCTGGATTTTTCTGTTGGTATCCTGTAACTTGTTCCTGGTTCCCTCGTATTTCCTGTAATTTAGTAATTCGGTTTAGGGTATTGATCAGATTCCAGTTCAATTTTTTGGCAAAAACTGTAATTAGTATTGTATAATCACAATTGTACATGCCAGGTGCGTATAATTGTCTAACTGTTGCTCTTTTGTGATATGCAGTTTAATTGGGGGTTCAGATGTTGTCAGCCTGATCCTCTGTTATAAAATTCTGCCATCATCTTTTGCCAAATGGTTTCAGGAGCCAGTGAAACTCATTGACTCAATCATTTTCCAACATAGTAATTCTATTTGTTTCTTTATTTGTATTTTTAGAGAAAGAAAGAATATATGTATTGGTTAGTGAAATCAGTCAGAAAACTAACAGAGACTTAAGCAAATAAAGGATTTTTTTTTTTTTTAAGACGGAGTCTTTGTCGCCCAGGCTGGAGTGCAGTGGCACGATCTTGGCTCACTGCAAGCTCCACCTCCCGGGTTCACACCATTCTCCTGCCTCAGCCTCCCGAGTAGCTGGGACTATAGGCACCCGCCACCACACCCAGCTAATTTTTTGTATTTTTAGTAGAGATGGAGTTTCATCGTGTTAGTCAGGATGGTCTTGATCTCCTGACCTCGTGATCCGCCCACCTCAGCCTCCCAGAGTGCTGGGATTACAGCCGTGAGCCACCGCGCCCGGCCAGGATGATTTTTCTCACTTAAGAAGGTTGGAGGTAGGCAGTGCAGGGTTGGTGCAGGGACTTGATGTGAAAGGAGTGAAGGATATGCCATCCCCCAATACACTCAATTGGCATATTGATTATTTTGAGTTGAAAACATTGAGAAATTGTAGTTTCAGAAAGGGCAAGCTGACCTATCTCTTCCTGCATGTAGCAAACTATAAAGATTTCTCTGGGCCGGGCGCGGTGGTTCACGCCTGTAATCCCAGCACTTTGGGAGGCCGAGAAGGGCGGATCACGAGGTCAGGAGATCCAGACCATCCTGGCTAACACGGTGAAACCCCGTCTCTACTAAAAATACAAAAATTAGCCAGGTGTGGTGGCGGGCGCCTGTAGTCCCAGCTACTCGGGAGGCTGAGGCAGGAGAATGGCGTCAACCCGGGAGGCGGAGCTTGCAGTGAGCTGAGATCCAGCCACTGCACTCCAGCCTGGGCGACAGAGCAAACTTTATCCCAAAAAAAAAAAAAAAAGATTCCTCTGGGAGGAGTACCCTTTCCATACCAGGGTGAGAAAATAGCCCTTATCACCAGAGACTTGGAATTGAATGCTGCAATAAACCTGAATAAACATACTTAACAAAGCAACCTTTATCTTCCATGTAATGTATACTCCCTCATATATATCTCCTAGTGACTTCCCTAGACCATTTTGCTGCCCTAGCCACATTTTCTTAGTTCTGTCATTTCTTCTAAAATTTATTGCTTTTTAAAAAAAATGTATAAAAGCATCTGGCTTTGGACACTTCTTCAGACTTCACTGTCTTGTGAAGTCCCCATAGACATGTAGTAAAACTAATAAACTTTGTATACTTTTCTCTTGTTAATATGCC